ATGACGTAACTAATCTAATCCAACAACGGTTACGATCGGTTGTCAACCGGACCTATTACGCGGCCAAACCCAGACTTGTGCACAGGACAAGGAGTATACCCGTCCCCCTGATTAAAGAACGCCCACCTCTGTACGCCAACTCAAACGTAATCTATCAATTCCAATGTGGGTGCGGAGACACTTACATAGGCAGAACAGAAAGGCAATTACGTAATCGGGTTTTTGAACATATTCCGAACTGGGTTCAACGCAAGGTGGCTATGTCACAGCCCACACAACCAATAACTGGTAATAACCGTGCTAACAAACCACCAAACTCATCGATAGCCAAGCACGTGTTGATGACGCAACACCTCGTGGATCGCGAGAAAGCATTTCGAGTGATTTTTACTACTGATAACACCAGAATGCTCAAGATAGCCGAGGCGCTGGCAATCAACCGATGGAAACCAATTCTATGTCAACAAAAAGACTTGTTCATCACCTTGGCTTTGCCTTGGTGACACCTCCCCGTTGGAGTATCCAGCGGGGAGCTGGTTGAACTGCTCTGTCCAGCGTTCCAAGTGTCGGTGAAGACTGTATATTAGTGTGCCGTCTACGTCGCAGATTGTTTTACTAACGCATTGTATTTTGGGCCCCGAGTGAGAATAAATGCTGGGCGTTTCCACACCAAGCGACTGATTCGATCTCTTTGCACGTAGCGTGCACCAGGCCTCTCGGTCGTCTCAAACTCTTTGTTGATTCACGCTACAGAGAGGTGCTGTTCACTGCATTCTCTGTCTGCCAACAACCGTCAAGAATTCTGGGAGAGTTGGGGAGATCGTGTGTTTGAAAACTTGATGGGTTAGGTCACAACTATGTAAACCAACTGGATGCATTGTTTCGAATGGTTTTCCAGTGTTGACCTACACTCCTTGGCGGGGTAGTTGTTATCCTTGTGATCAACTCGTTTTGGTAGTCAGCTAACACAGCTGGGTCGGAAAGCTTGGCGACCTCAAGCTGGTTGCATCACTTTACGGTCACTAAATCGCACAGACAACTTGGCATAAACCATTGCATGATCGGGGCCCAAGCAGGTAGACGAATACGAACGTCAGTCCCTCACACATCCTCCTTATCTATAGCTTTGATTAATTTGAAACTTGCTTCAACAGTCACCTAGACTGTGAGGGTCACTTTTCCAGCGTCGGCGAACTACCTGGAGCGCTCTTCCACCCCAACTTGTTAGCAATTCAACCATCGATTCGTTCCACACACGGATCGATGAAGCATTGACACATGTGACTATCCAATATCCACCAGTATCCACAATTATTTTATTTATATTAGGCGCGGTATAAAAGACGACTTTCAAACGACCATGTTCATCCACTGACTGCTTGCTAGTAGCTTGTTCAGGTGAAGTCCTTTTCTGTTACGCAGATGCAGGATTTATGTATGGGTCTCCTGTAGAATGCGCTATGAAGAACAATATAATGTTATACAACCAAGATCATTCGACCATCCGAATCTAATTGAATCTTCAGATGTTCGAATTAACACTAGAACAGCCGCAACGTTCAAATCCCCAGGAATCGCCATATGGTAATTGGGACCTCTTTTCAGATTAATCAGCCACATTGTTTGAAATCGAATGTTTTACATAATTGTGCGACTTTTCTCTAACAACCTCTCCAACAGAAAAACGTGCCAAAAGGAACTCAAGAAACACGGCAAAACGAACGGAATTTTGTCCAGAGTATGACTATAAGAACAGACAGCTCTCACCGAGAACAAGGCTCTCGTGCATCTACTCATTGTCCTTGCAATCCTAGGCCAAGTGAATTTTCTATTTTCCCCTAAACACTGCGCTTTGCATTCCACTCCTTCATTCATATGGGCAACCAAAAGATATAGTCTTATCATTGGACGGAACGTAGTAGTCATCGATCTCGGAGGATTCACTCAGAGAAATAACGCTTCATAGCAAAGTTAGCTGTATTCAAACCAATTCGATCATTGAGACAGGCGCCCATTTTGAAAATCGATTCTGAGTCGAACTAAGTTGAAAACTTTGATCTCGACCAAGAACATGGTGGAAGACGAGTCCAAAAGACAGTGGAATCAGATGTCCACTAAACCAATATTTATGGAAAAGAGGTTTAAGGAACAGGTGAATACACACCGGGAGATGAGGAGTGGTTCTCAGCATTATTGCCACCATAGCAATGGCACTAGGAAGCCAAGCGCGTACTGGCAAACAGATTGGCCACTCGGATTAACTCGTCCAGCGTGTCCAAACGGGAACCGGTGGCTTGTGCGAAGGTGTCCTTCCCGCCACCTTTCCCATTCATCGTTGACGAGATACTGTTCACCCATTCGTTTGCTTTCATCCCTCGATTGACCAAGGACTACAACCACGGGGAGGAATGAGAACAGAGGTGAAATAAACATAAATGCGCGACAAGGCTGAATGGAACTTACGTAAATTGAAGACAAAACTTCTTACCAAAGAGACTTTACAACCAGTGAAATGAGCCTAAACGAAATGCTATGATCATTATATTCTAAGTGAAATCTAGACGACAGTTGACGTCGGGGTGGTGAGAATTCTATTAACAAGAGAACAAGGCAGTTCGGGTTCTCTTTCTGTATAATCTCCTATCCAGAAAACCATCTTATGTGGGGGTCCAAATGCCTAAACGTGTCATGAGACCACTAAAAGTGTGCTTGCACACGAAAGCCCGATTCGCTGGTTAAAGTTAGGTGAGTTCATAGACAAGAACTGCTGACGTACATCAGCAGTTCAGGGATGCCAAGCTCCTGGACGATTCGTAAGAAAATGCACGCCAGAAACCTCGTATAAATTAAAGTGGGATCGCGCTACGACAGCAACAGTAGATCAGGACCACATTATAGAAGTTTCGATTCCACTTAGAATGCTTTGGTTAAACTATGAAACTTCCTACACTTTGATTGTGGTTTTCCCTCTTCGGGGGTTCGTTTATACGTCAAAGGTTGAAGGCGCATTTCTTGCAATATGCACTCTTGTGATGCGATATATCAGTTCACATTCGACTCACAGTTACATGTAGGTAGTGACGTGGGATAATTGATATGGATTTTGAACTGACTGGTATCAATTTAATAAAGGGAATTCGTCGTGTATATAGCAAGTGAAGCGTGAACTGAAAAACTGAGAAGCATTGGACAGCTGTTTTGACCTGGTTGGGTCTCATCAACAGTGCGAATCCATCGAACCCGGGACATCACAGGCAGAACGCAAGTATGCTACTCACTCGGTCACCGAGCAGGTGATCAGATTGTTTTCCATTTTCCGTTTACACGATATAGCACAACCCATTTTTGCGACCAACAAGACCATTAGTGAAATGCATATCAACACGCTGGGATACAGGTTATTCATGCTCAGGTTGTGGGATATCACAAATTTACGGCCAGTAGAGCTGGGGATGAGACTCCGGATCACTTAGGTGGTTCACTGTGAATAGGTCGGCATTGCTTCATAGAATAGACGGACACGAACGATCAGTGTCCATGTCCGAGGATGTGATGGGTTTTCGCTTGGCGAGAAATCTCTCTGCAACGAAAGCATCGTGAATGGTATGAATGTGGGTCGTCAGCAAGGTTATCACCCAGACCATTTGGCCCTACAGTAGGAGTGATGGATGGGGCGTAGACATGTGCAACCGGCGCAGCCGTTGCATCATAGAGGAGAAACTGAATGACTGCATGTGTGAAACAAACGACAAAGTGATCCACGTGGATTTGAGTGAAAAGATAGGTAAATAACTATGCAGGCTGGACGACGCCTAAGAAGGTAGTGAAGCAATTTGCTTGAAATATTTTTTTCGAAAAAAAGCAAAGCTATCTGGGAAATTACGTGGCAGTAAGAAGAGATCTTTTAACTTGAATCGTTCAAGCACTCACCTTGGGAACTTGGGTAAGGCAGAGCAATTTCCGCTCGACCGGATCAGCTGACAAAGCCATGATTGCGGTGTTGGGACATTTGGATTCAAAAAGCTTCATCGCGTTGTTCAGTGTTTTGGCATTGGCCTGAGCTGGGAATACATGCACGAAGTAGTTGACGGATTGGTCACCATTCTCGGAATACTTTTCGGCCAAAACAGTTGCCTGTTCCATAACCTGAACGGAGAAGACGAAAAACAATTTGACCAGATTTCTTAATAACCACGTGAGGAAAAGTTACAAATTTGTAATTCACTTTGAGGAAGAGGTAATCAACAAAGGGACATCTGTTGGGTGTTTGGAAACACCGAATTGGTGGGTAGCGTGAGTATACATGAACGATGTGAAGAAAAGTAGCGAGATGTGCCTGAGCAATTCGGCTAATCGCATGAAAACCAATTTCACAGTTACGTGAGTCGAAGAACGTGACAGCTGTAGAAGCGCATTACTCCAGTTGGCTATGGCTCGGATGGGTTGGGGCCATTAAAGACTTAAACTTTGCTTAGCTGATTAAGACAACCCGATCGATAACCAGTAGGCATTTACAGAGTTCCGCTTCACAAGAGCAGAGTATTTCGGTCTCAAACAACAACAAGCAACTTGTTTATTCAGACCCAAACTATACCCGAAACAGAACCTGATTCAGGCTGTTCAAGTTCTGTGCGGGCAACACTGATGTCTCATAGGTGATGACAATTACGAAGGATACCACTCATTCAGATAACCCAAACTTAATGTCTCGAATAAGGTGATGTGAAATCTAACAATTGTATGGACAGCTACGAATGAATGAATCTATCCAGTTCTGTATTTCTTTTATACAACACTACGAAACGTGCGTTTCACACTGAAGCTTCCCGAAGAAATGACGGATATGGCAGCTAACCCACAGCAGCTGAATTCTTGTTGTCCATTCTTATCACGTTAGAATGTTTTGGGAGGAGTACGAGCATAAGTAGACTGTAAACCAGGTGAATCACCGTATCTTCTCATTCCCTAACCAGAGCACTCCCTCCTACTAACACAGTGTATCTACTGCGAGTTTGGCATCGACCAGCCAAGTTCGCTCCAGTGTATAACGCCGTACGATTGCCATGTTTGTTCATTTATTTTGGACGCCATGAAACTGCAACAGTTTAAATTCACGACATGATTTTGTAATAACCACGAAGAGAACGATCGTGAAAAAGGTGATTCGCCGAAATTTACGAGAACATTTCTCGAGGGATTTTCGTGTACGGGACAAGAACAAAACTGCGACATCGTGAACAGAATCACGTCCATGTAATGATGAGTGAGCATCGAAATAAGATGAGCGCGCGCGTCCATTGGAGCGCACATACCTCATTTGCAATTGCCGCTTTCCGGGACTTGTCCAAATCATCCAAACTTTTCTTACAACTGCCTAGCTGATCTCGAAGCGTATTTCGGGCGGCCTGACTGATATTTGCTCGTCCCACCGTTTCGGACAGAGTGGCAATATTTCCAATTTGGGCACGACACAGTTGAATTGCTTCATCACCACCAGGACCAGCAAGGATTTGTTTGATCTCGGACTCCAAGATGTTGACATCCTTTTGAAGGTCTTCAGCTTCACGGGTGGCCTAGTCCGGGTGATGGATGGGGGAAACACGAGAAATAGGATGAAACAAAACGGGAAAAGTTGATTCAGCACAAAAATTTCTTTAAAAGAGTTAGCCTGAGAAAAACCTGGCGAAACACAGAGATTCAAAGAGTAAGCTCACACCTAGAAAACCGAACAAGGTTTGGACAAATTTATCTTTTAACAGATGAAACCACACGTTGGAATACCTTCTAACCACATCACGCTCAAAATGACGACTAAATCAATCCGCGATGGAAACGTTTATGATGACCAACAAACAGCACTGAACAGCTGTTTGGGACTCGTCAGCAGTGCTTACTTTTGTATCCTTGTCAGGACTCGAACCGCGATTCTTCGAGCTGGGACCTCAAACCCTCACCATTGAGCTACACGGTCGACGACTATCATCTTGTGCGAATAGCTCAATCAATTTAGATGGTACTGTTGATGATGAAGATATTCGACACCGCATTATATGCACTTTGTACGGGGGACGGGGGATTACGAGAGGACCAGTACAAGAAATAACCGAATGGGATTGTGTGAATAAGATCGCGAACAAAAATGGAAATCAACCGGGACAACAAAATCGGGTGAAGAGGAGCTCGTACACAAACACACATTCAGAGAGGAGAGAGGGAACAAAATGGATCACCTAC